CTCCCCCATGGGTTTCTGTTAAGTTTCTCGGGATCCACATAAGAGTGAAACCATATGGTATCTGTCTTTCTCTGTATGGCTTATTTCACTTAGCATCACACTCTCCAGTTCCATCCATGTTGCTACAAAGGGCCATATTTCATTCTTTCTCATTGCCACGTAGTACTCCATTGTGTATATAAACCACAATTTCTTTATCCATTCATCAGTTGATGGACATTTAGGCTCTTTCCATAATTTGGCAATTGTTGAAAGTGCTGGTATAAACATTGGGGTACAAGTGCCCGTATGCATCAGCACTCCTGTATCCCTTGGGTAAATTCCTAGCAGTGCTACTGCTGGGTCATAGGGTAGATCTATTTTTAATTTTTTGAGGAACCTCCACATCCAGAAGGATTTTCTTATGTTAAAGAAGCCTCACAGGATCCTGGAGGCCTAGCTATTGTCGGCTAAGTCCGTTTTTCCCTCTAGCAAGGCATTAGCGTTAAGACAGTGGTGGGGGCGCCTGGTTGGCTCAGTGGGTGGAGAGGTGACATTCCACTCACCATCTCGGGGTTGTGAGTTCAAACACCACATTGGATGTAGAGATTACTTCAAAATAAAATCTTTTTAAAATATATAACAAGACATTCCTGGAGGAATGTCACACTCTGCCGGCCTCAAGTATTTGTCAATGGGCTGCAGGATATAAGGAAATTGAATTTTATCTTCATTTCCTTTGGTCTTTGTTCTCCCCATCAGTGCACAGCCGGGCAATGCTTCTTAGGTTATCTCACTGTGTCCCCAACTTGTCACAAGTGAAATCAGACATCTCACTGGTTGACTCCCCTGGATTTACATCATTGAGTTAGTTAGAAAAGACACCCTACCAGGGGTGCCTGGGTGGCTCAGTCAGTTGAGCGTCCAACTCTTTTTTTTTTTTTAATGTTTTTATTTATGTATTTATGTATTTTTTTCTTTTTTTTAAATTTTCTTTTTTTTAAGTTTATTTATTTATCTTGAGAGCGAGACCATGGGAGAGGGGCAGAGAGAGGGAGAGAGAGAGAACCCCAAGCAGGCTCCGCACTGTCAGTGCAGAGCCTGATGCAGGGCTCAAACTCCCGAACTGCGAGATCATGACCTGAATCGAAGTTGGACGCTCAACCGACTGAGCCACCCAGGTGCCCCTGTTTTTATTTATTTTTTGAGACAGAGATAGAGAAGAGCATGTGCAGGGGAAGGTCAGAGAGAGAGGGAGACACAGAATCTGAAGCAGGCTCCAGGTTCCAAGCTGTCAGCCCAGAGCCCGACACAGGGCTCGAACTCGTGAACCGCAAGATCATGACCTGGGCCGAAGTCAGACACCCAACTGACTGAGTCACGTAGGCATCCTGTGCATCTGACTCTTGATTTCAGCTCAGATCATGATCCCTGGATCGTGGGATGGAGCCCTGCGTCAGGTTTTGTGCTGAGTGCTGAGCGTAGACCCTGCTTGAGATCCTCTCTCTCTCTCTCTCTCTCTCTCTCTCTCTTCCTCTGCCCCTTTCCCCCGCTCACTTTCTCTCTAAAACAAAAAATTTAAAAGAAAGAAAGAAAGAAGGAAAGAAAGAGAAGGAAAGAAAGAAAGAAGGAGAGAGAAGGAAAGAAAGAAAGAAAAGAAAGAGACAAAGAAAGAAAGAAAGAAAAAGGAAGAAACGGAAGAAAGAAAAGAAAAAAAGGAAGAAAGAAAGAAAAGACCTATCAGGAGGGATTCACAACTCAGGGTTTGCTTCCTTTAGCAGAGCCATACTTACCTGGTTAGGAGGAAATATAGATAAGAATATGATCAGAAACCTCTCCTTAACTCTTAAAGATATTGTAGAATCTGTCACTCAGACAATAGCTGCCCAACAAAGATCCTTAAACTCTGCAGTAAAGCTGTCCTTGATAACAGGATAGCCCCTGATTATCTTTTAGCTGAGCAAGGAGGTGTCTGTGCTGTGGCCAATGCCATCCGCTGTACCTGGATTAACACTTCTGGGGAGGCTGAAACTCAGTTGCACGAGCTCGCTGCCCTAGCCACAGGGCTTAAAACAGTGACTCCTGGGGCGCCTGGGTGGCGCAGTTGGTTAAGCGTCTGACTTCAGCCAGGTCACGATCTCGCGGTCTGTGAGTTCGAGCCCCGCGTCGGGCTCTGGGCTGATGGCTCAGAGCCTGGAGCCTGTTTCTGATTCTGTGTCTCCCTCTCTCTCTGCCCCTCCCCCGTTCATGCTCTGTCTCTCTCTGTCGCAAAAATAAATAAATGTTGAAAAAAAAATTAAAAAAAAACAAAAAAGCAGTGACTCCTTCGGCAGAGTCTTACTTTGACTTATTTGGTTTTGACTGGTTTGGGTCTTGGAGACCATGGCTCTGAAGTGCGCGGCAGACATTGGGGATTATCCTGTTTGTGCTCATCGCGATAATCTCCGTGGTGCCTTGTACTCTCTCAAAAGCTTTAAATGCGAGTTCACAGCTGTACTTCACCAAGTGCACGATCTCCCGAAGACTGGACCATCAGAAAAAGAGCAAAGAGGACGAACTGACTTAAAAATGGTGAACCTTGGGGCTCCTGGCAGGCGTGGTATCCATGCCATGGAACATGCAACTGTTGATGTCAGGGTTGTGAGTTTGAACCCCATGTTGGGTATCAAGATGACTTTATTTTTAAAAATTTTTTTCAATGTTTATTTATTTTTGAGAGACAGAGAGAGAGCGTGAGTAGGGAAGGGGCAGAGAGAGAGACAGACACAGAATCCAAAGCAGGCTCCAGGCTCTGAGCTGTCAGCACAGAGCCCGACGTGGGGCATGAACCCCCCAACCGTGAGATCATGACCTGGGCCGAAGTCGGATGTCCAACCGACTGAGCCACCCAGGTGCCCCTGGAGATGACTTTAAAAAAAAAACCCGTGAACCTGAAGTTGTAACTTGTGACTACCTTAGTCACGGAATGTCTTAAATTTCGATCACGTCTCTCAGTTAAGCTTAGAATCG